TAAGATTTGATTTATATAAAACTCATTAGCCTAATAACCAACGAAATATATGTTAGAGATTGAGGCCATCTGATATAGTCAAAGTATACTTTGACTGTTGATGCAATTTTGGTACATTTTGTAGAGTTTCTCACAATTGAACTCTGCTATGATGGTTTAGCTCGATCGCAGAAAGTTATAATGAATCACCCCAACCACTGACCACCATAAAATGGGTTTTCACTTTTGGAAAGTGCCTGGATTGCTTATTATGGCTCATCAATGTCCAACTACTGTCCTGAACGTCTCGTGTTGTCGTAGTGGATCCACTTTTCTTCACACATGACGATCCGATCCAAAAAAGATCGTTTTGGTTGCGCAAAAGTGAAGAAGAACAGACTCCGAAATGTGACAATTTCTGTCGATCGTTCAAATCATGGAGCACCTACTTCTCGAACTTTTTGACCTCTTCAATACGTTTCAAACCATCAAAAACCGCATGGGAGCAGACGCCCAATTCTTCCGCCATCCCACGCACCGTTTGTGATAGGTCAATATCCACCAGGGTCCTCAAATCCTCATTCTGGATTACTGTGAGTCGACCACTTCGAGGCTCGTCATCGAAGCTGAAATCTCCGAAACGAAATTTTGCAAAGCAACGTCAAACAGTGTGTTCATTAACAGTATCATTGCCAAATGTCTGGTCAATTTTTCAGACTGTTTCGACGGCGTTTTTGTTCAATTTGAATTAGCGGAGAAGAATTGGCCGAATATTACTCAACGACATCATATATGAACGGAAGTTACGTCGATTCAGGCAAACAGTGACTTCATCACATCAGTGAGGTTACTTCTCAGCTCGGCAGACAAGACAGACCACCCAGTCGACCAGAGTGCACTGAATTGTCACGTAGTGTCCTCAAACTATCACTCTACTAGCTGGGCGGTAAGACAGCCAATCAGAGTGTACCAAATTGTCACGTAGCGTCCTCAAACTGTCAGCCAGCTCACCAGCTATTCAGAGCGCATGTTTCTGCATCTCAGAACATCGTGGCGGGAGATTTGAATTTTCTGTGAACGTAAATAATTCAAGCAGACAGAATCAGGATCAGGCTTATCCTATTGGTTGAATACGGCAAGTCAAACCGTAGTTATGATAAGTCCTTCTTCCTTTCGGTTGAAATTGTCTTTGTGTTTGTGAATTTTCATTGCCCACTTATATAATTTTAGGTGTTAGCTCTGAATTATATGAAGTAAATGATGTGAGTGCTTTCTCTGAGTGCATGTTCAATTAGTGCTGATTTCATGGTATACCCAAGAAGCGAACATAAAAACCTACAGACCACGACTAACAAAACCACAAATAACTTTGACTACAAACGGAGTGGCGAGACTATCATCACAAAAGTGTCAAAATGATCTCTCTTCATCTAACCAGTTTATACTTTCTTCAGCAGCAGCTTCTCTGGCCAGTCCACATAAAAAAGGTTAACAAAAACAGTCCAACCTAACAATTACGGAATTACACAAATTTCTTTATCAATGAGATAATACCGTTGTCAATAGAACAACATATGAGTTGATGATAACAGAGTAGAAGGTTATAGTGAAGATGATGTTTGAGAATGTGAGTCTCACCTGGATCTTGTCGCAGATTCCAGTACTGTCCATCCTGCTGGCGACGTTGACAGCATTCCCCCAGATATCATACTGGGGCTTTCTGGCCCCAATGACCCCCGCCACCACGGGGCCCACATTGATGCCGATCCTAATGCGGAAGTGGTTGAACGAGTGTTCGTTTACCTCCTCCAGCAGCTCCTTCAGCCTGAGAGCGTAGTCAGCCATGGCCGTCACGTGTTTGTATTCGAGCATATCACAAGTGTTTTGCGTTAACCCTGGAAAAAAGTGATCGTTTTCGATGTCTGAAGACTGCAAAGTTACTGAGGCCACAGGAGTAAGCTAAATCCATTATCGACGCTAATCTATTCAATCATTTATTTATTTCAACGGACGTGCCAACTCACAATTAATTACACAAGTGTTCATATTCTGTCGGACTTGGTTAGTAAATCATAATTCAAATTATCTAAACGAACGATTCGTTAAGGCTCAGTATTCCCTTACCTACATGGACTGACACCTATCAGAAAACAACTACTCTGGCTGATTCCACGAAAGTTGTTGAATTATATCCGACAGGGCGGTATAATCCAAGGCTCTTTGTGGTATTAGACAGGTAAGTAGTTGTTTTTTGCTGGGTGTCAGTCCATGCAACTATTGTTTAGGTAAGGGAAGAATGGCCTGAAAGAATTGTTCATTCAGATAATTTTATTTATAGCTAGTCTTCAAGTATGCGCACTCACTATTGATGAAATTTATTTACTTATACGCGGATTTAGGCTATTCGGATATGCAATGTTGGTCAGTATCTCGTCTACAGGCAGCGGGGGCGATGATAGATATGTTGGTTGTCGTTCGCTTCAGCTCTGTTCGAGGTATGATACTCTGAAAGAATTTGATTTTCAATTATGGGAAATCGCCGACTCTGAGTTGATGTAGGATGATAGCTTGAACTGGTGGATGTCAAATAGCCCGAAACCGGTCTGAAAATGTGCCCATTCCAATCATTGAAAGTCTATTCCGGTAGTTGGATCGCCAAAAGCATATGCAGAAATTATTTCTGTGAAGAATCCTACACTGACACCTGTCGGATATAATCCAACGCCCTTCGTGATATAAGCCAGGGCTGTAGTTGTTTTCTGATAGGTGTCAGTCCATGAACCAACTGTGTATGTAAGGGATGGCTGGCCTGAACGAATTGTTCATTCAGATAATTTGATTTATTGTCAGTCTTCAAATATGCCCACACTATAGGGCACATCATAAACGTTCAACAGACAGTTAAACGGTAATGGTTTGCTAACTTTGCAATCACATAAATGGTTTCATTTCCAGAATGGTGGACAGGTAACTAGGAGACATCTCTTTTATGTAGACAGGTGTAGGCCAGAACTCGCCGAACACACACTCTCTTATTGACGATAACTCCGGACACTCACATAGGACATGCATGACAGTTTCATCTTCCTGTTCCTGCATAGAGGAACCCATATCATGATATGGGGCTAGTGGACAGTCAGAAACCCTACTGTTAAGCGTAGGTTTTTCGTAGTCATCGCCAGATATTTCTTCGACGCCAGCTTCCCAGGGTCGCCCAGGGTGATCCTGGCAAGACTGCATCCTTTAATTCCATCCCATCTCTTTAGGGATTGAGCATGGGTATGGCGTTTGGCTAGTTCCGCAACTGTCCAAGTCATCAGGCTGTAGGTGTCACTGGGACTTGAAATTCTTAGTCCAGTCGCTCCCTTGAAGAGCCCAATTATTATCTAAATCGATGGATGAGCAGATATTGTCCCACAGAATGGCCTGCTAAATCACCTGACATGGCGCTCTTGCATTTTTCATGAGGATTCGTGTAGAAATGAATAAAATGAGAAAGCTTGCAACGAAAATACCCCATTACGTCAGAAATGAACTTATAATAAAAGTTCATTACTGGCAGGAAGTGAAATTTAATTATGAAATGGAATTTTGTTCAAATACTGAATAATTGTATTTTCAAGTAAACGTTGTCTGACCTTGATATCTTTCGCATTTCAAAAGTTACGAGGTGGTGGATTTTACAACCCTACTGTAAAGAATTTCAATAATTGATTTTATGAATTTTGAAAAAGAATTTGTAACTTTGTCCCTATAATAATTTTGTTTCGGGTGAATATCACTTATTCACACTCTTACCATAATATCAGTAAACGATTTCCAAAAAGTAGAATTACACCAAGAATTCTTAAAGTAGGTACACTTGACAGTTATTCGAAAAAAAAATCTTGAAACAATCTTGAATATTTCCACAATCCCCGTTAGTTCAAACACATCTCTCATCAGAGTCAGTCAGTCGATCCCGATATCGAAAACTGATTCTCGACCTAGGAAATGGATGTTTGGTCTGTTACACGTGAGCGGATTTAATTTCGGAGAATATCCTCCACCATTTGCGTAATGAAATGCAGACAATTTCCCTCTGAACAGCTGTAGAGCTTGATTTATCTCAAGGTAAAGCATTTTTGTGTCTAGTCGAATGGTATATTTTAATTAAACTTTCCGATGAAAATTCACCATAATCAATCACTTCCGGAAACAAAATATATTAAGTTCCTTGAAGTAGCCCATAGAAGTAGTATGAGCAATTAGGATTGCTAATTTCGAAATAATTTGAGGTATAACAATTTTAATTTCGTATAGAAGAAGACTCTCGAAAAGTATACTATTGAAAAAGTTTGAATGAAATTTCCAAGCGGGAGTAGACTAATTGCCAACACAAAAAGAGCACAGGGTAACATAAAAATAAATCGAGAAAATTTGCCGTTTTCTTTTATGTGAAACCCTCGTGATGAATATGGATTTTGGCTCCGAAACATTAATTATGTTATTGTGAAACACAATTTGCAATATCTTTCCAAAGTATTTGAAAACTAATCACAATATTTCATTCCATTACGGTATATTGATTTTTGTTCAATATTTCTTTTTGATTTTTCGACGCATCAAAATTTGCTTCCTTAGGCAAGTTATTCAATAATTGAACATTATTTAGGACATTCAAAAAAACTCAATTCATTATTGAATTCTTTCATCGTTGAGAATTTCATTGAGACATTTAGGTGAATACTGGACGCCCCTGAAGGAGGTATTTTATAACGGGTGATTTTTTCAGAGGTATAGGATTTGATTTTCAAAACAACACGAAAAATTAGAAAAAATTGATGAAACCTTTATTGGAATCGATAAAACGATCAATATAATTCAATGTTTGAAAATGATTTCATGCAAATGTTGTCCGCGGCTTCGCTTTAGATGGCCCATGCGCAAGGTCCAATTTTGGCACACTCTCTTAAAAAATGAATAGATAAGTACTTTTTGATTATTCCCATATTGATTTCAATTTAAGAGCCACCGGTAGACAGCTGTTTCAGCCTATTGGGCATCGTCAGTACCGGGCAGGCGGTCCTCGATTGAAGACAAAATGGGAAAAAACCAAGAAAGTACTTGATAAAAATAGCTGCGTAAACGCAAGCGAAACATAAGTGGAACCACCTATTGGAGTGACACCCAAGTCAACTTGCCAATAGGTTGTGTCGCAATCTTGTGGAAATGTATCTAAAAGGTTGTCTTCTCTCTGGATTCCTCCCATGATACAAAATGCTTGCTGTTTCTGCATTTTCTCGGTTTCTATAAAACAGACAATAATATTCCTTTTTTCATAATTCTCATACTTCATTGCAAATGTGTTCGAAAATTAAACAAAAACCACTAATTGAAGAGTGTCTTTACTGCTCAAATCAAAATTTGACAGCTACCAGTAAAGATTTGCATTCTGTTTTATCACCGCATGATGACTCTAGCAAAATATCAAGTGTGCTACATATTTGGGAAGCTAATTTTAAGCTCTATTAAAATATGCAGGAATATACCGGGTGTCTAAATAATTCCAAGATAACAACTGATATTTCATTTGAAAAAATAAGTGTTTCACATTATTGAATTCTAAGTAAAAAGGTTCTCCAAGAATATGTTCATAGAAACAATAAATTTTTGACAGAGAAAAGTTACAGCAACTTTTGGAAAAATGCACGTTTTTGAAAAACTGTAACTCAGAAAGGGATAATGTCGATTCTTTTTGGTTTTGTGCTGTTTTGTTGGATAGTCGTGTTGTTGTGCATGTTTTTGAGTGTGTTTCGCCTTCCAGTTGAAGAAAAATGAATGAAATTATGATTCTCTCTGTGATCAGACTCATTTCAGAATTATTTACAAATACTGTATTGTGACAGTGTAATAGTAACACTATATTAACGTACAAAAATAATTTCGTATCAATATATTAAACGAAAGACTTGCTTGCAGGTAACACATTTTGAAAACAACAAATACGATTTTGTTCATGGCTGAAGACTATCTCAATATAAGTAAAATTTGTAAATCATTCTGTGAAACTGGCCATAGTGAATAGATGGCATGAGCAATATGAGGACTCGTGACGTCAACCAAACAAAACGGTTTTCATGAGTAGTGGAAGGTTAAGTTGCCTTGGCAAGTGGCAATAACTTGTGAAATTAAAAATTGTGGCAATAATCAGCGAAATCAAAAATTCAATTGTATATAATGAAACGAAAACATTTAACAAGTTTATTAAAACAGAACTTATTGGAACTTATTTTCAAAAAGATTCATCACACATAAGATGAATTTTTTTAAGATTTTATACTTTGTAATCAATTTTACTCATGTTATGATTTTGTTGGCATCTGAGCAATAATAAAATAATAATTATTTCATCATCATAGTCACTTATTGATAATATCACATTACAAATATTGAAGCACCTCACCTGACGCAGCCATATATGTGGCTCCAGTCGATTTGATTTTTTCGATGTATTTGAATTGGTCCTCCGATAACAGCTCATCGAAATCTGCGATGATTTCGTTGAGGAGTCGCAAACACTCCACCCCTTCGTTGTTGCCTTCGAGTTCGACATAGAATTCCGAGAAGTTGGGAATCGAGGCGAACATGATACACACGAAGTCGCATTGTTCATGGTATAGTTCCTGGAAAGCCCAATTTGAGAAAATGAGTTGAAATTTTTTAATGAGAAGATTGTTGAAGTGATAAGAGACTTTATTTATCATTATATGAGCTTTATATTTTAATTCACTCGTCTAGGTGTCATTTCAAAATATCGCATTTCCTCACAATCATCAACGATATACAAAGCGACACTTTTGCTAAGTTCTTTTTCTTCGGAGATGAGTTCAGTTGAATTAGAGAAGTGATAGTTTTTTCCGTTGATTGAAGTGCTGGAAATAGAAATAACAATTGACCATCGCCTTATCGATAAAAAAAAAGAGACACCCTGTATATTTCAACTTCAATATGCTTGATTGGTCCGACCCTTCTTCAATTATTGTGAGAATCTTTGTGTTATGAAGTGCTTTTATCCATATCTTGTTCTACGGTTGTATATACATCTGAATGAAAAACACAACCATACTCGTTTACTTACATCGTTGTTTTTCTCGCTGTTCAAAAAATGTTCCGCCACATGAACAGGCAATATGTTCGCCAAGAGTTTCCGGTTGTACGCTTCCAAATGTTCCATGTCCTCTTTTTCCTCTGAAACAGAAGGAAACCCGACTCTATTATTCGTTTAACACAATGTCATTAGGTTTCATGGCGAACATTCGAAATATTCTGGAAAATGGTCACAGAAATAATGTTATTGTCACGTATTTTCCATGTACGTTCGAGAGTATTATAATGTTTGTCATTAGTTTTGATGCCATTGTTACTGAGGAGGTAACTTTCAGTTTGTTGGTTTCTTTGCTTGCTTTTCTGAAATGGAAGTTTTCTGAAACAATCACGATAAAATAATGCTGACAAAGGAAGTCTTCTATCGTTCCTGTACCTACTCGTATAAAACAGAACTATAGTTCAATTGATATTCACACATGTTAGGAGTCACACGCTAAAAGGTAAGACCTCGTTAGTAAATAGCTCGCATAAGTTTCGACTTCTGAGGGTAGACGTTAGTAGGGGTGCGACAGCTGGTTAAGGAAAAAAACAGATTTCAAACATATTTTTCAAACAAGAAACGACCGAATTAAAATTATAAGGAAATGAATGAAAAAATAATCGAATAGCATGTGCTCCTAAGCTGTTGAATAAAACTAAAAAAAATTATAAAACAAAAAAGATACATGAGTTCGGTCCTGACTTGCGACACGCTTAACAGCTAGTACGTTTATGTCCGAGTATTTCTGATTTAAAAGTATGATATAGCTAATAATTATCACTCAAAAAAAGATATAGCTAGATAATTTGTAGAACAATATAGTCAACAATCGTCCAATGAAAATTTTGATGAAGCATTCATCACATACAAATCTGAGAAGGAATCGTCGCCAACAATAATAACAGACAATAAAGATCCAATTAACTCATCAATCATTAATGAGAAGTTCCATGAAGCTCTGATCTCAATGATACCTTCTCAGGTCCAGATGATATACCAGCTTCCTTCTTGAGGAACCTACCAAGAGTCGCAACGAACCTTCTCTAACGAATTATCAATATAATTTGGACCGAACGGAAATTTCCCCAAATTTGAAGACAAGCACTGTTTATCCCCATTTTGAAGCCAAATAAATTAGCCCTTGAAACAAAATCCTATCGACCAATATCCATTACGTGTATAATGTGCAAATTACTCGAGAAGATAGTGAATAAACGTTTAATGTGGGTTCTTGAGAGTCAAAATCGAATCATAGCGGAACAATCGGAATTCAGCTCTCACAGATAAACCTAAGATAATATAATAGACCTGGAGAGCACTATTCCCGAGGTTTTTGCCAACCAACAGAAATGCATGGCAGTCTATTTCGATATTAACAAATCTTTCGAGACTGCGTGGCGTTATAATATTCTGAACAAATTGAAAAAAATTGGTTATGATGGAAACATATTAGCATTTGTGCAGAACTTTCTTTCAGAAAGAAAGTTTCAAGTTCAAGTAATTGGTACACCATCACACTACAAAATTCAAGAATATGGTATTCCTCAGTGCTCGATAATGAGCCCCACTCTATTTCTAATGACACTCAATGACGTCTTACACTCCTTGAAAAAACCCCTTCAGGCAAGAATATACGTAGATGATTTGGTACTATTTAACAAAGGAAAGAATATCCATAACCTAGCTGAACTGTTATAGATCCACATAAGTTCTCTAGAAATACAACAGGATTCATGTCATGTCAGACATCTAGTGCTATCATGCCAAAAAAGAATACACCTACTCAAACACCTAGCTCATAAACAATGGGGTGCAGAAGGTTCAACACTGCTGCTGCTGTACTGATCTTTAATACGCTCTAAACTAGATTATGGTTGTATGCTTCTGCTAAACGAAGAACATTACCTCAAGGATTCAATACATCATTCTACTCTGCGCATAATCGCATCGCAGGAGCGTATAGGACCACACCAGTGGAAAGCCTCTACTGTGAATTAGAAGAACCTTCCCTGAGTTTTCTCAGAACCCAGTTGAGTTTGTCCATGCTGCCGCAGTTGCATCTATGAAATACATTCCCATTTACAGGAATACAATAACAAATATATTTTCAACAAGTTACTTTCGGCCAAAAACTGATCTTCCATTCTACTAGAGGATTCGGCGACACGTAAGTTCTTTACAAATGGAGTCATTTCTAACTCCGTACCCCATAAATCTGCACCACCATGGCTTATACAGACTCCTATCATAAACACTCTCCTATCCCAGTTTCCCAAAAATGAAACGAATAAGAGCACCATCAAACAAAATTTTCGACAAATCCTGGACCAATTCGACCACCCTGAAGAAATATACACAGACTCATCCAAAACTCATCTTGGTATAGGAGCTGCAGTAGTGACTATGTTGCATTAACCTTTAAACTTCCAGAAACAGCAACAATACTAACTGGAAAATTATCCTTCAAGCTCTCCGGTACGCTAAGTCAAGTGCATCGGACACTGTCTCGATCATTTCAGACTCTCTCAGTGTCTCACAACTCCTTCAAGGAATGTATATCAAACACCTCATTGGAATATTTATCAATCAACAATTTTTCGAACTCCAAACGGTCAACAAGAAAATCATCCTACTTTGGGTTCCTTCGCATGTGGGGATTGTTGGAAACGAGAGTGCTGAATTTTATGCTCGTGAGGCGATTGATAATTCGAACCAGGGAACAACAATGTATAGCCCTCATACCGACCTAAAACGATATTTCAAAAGCTTATTGTTGAGTAAGTGGAACATTGAAAGAATGAAACCCAAAGTCGGACCATGGAACTATGGAACGCTGAAAAGGAGGAAACAAGTTATGATCACTCGTCTTCGATTAGGACACACCAAACTAACCCACGAATACTTGATATTTGTAGCAGATCAACAACAGTGTCACATTCGTCAAGTTGCACTAACAATACATCACATCATAGTGCAGTCTTCAGTGTTTCAATTAGAAAGGGAAATGTGCAAAATATCGAAGGAATCGCAGGAAACCTATCTCCTAGTTATTTTAGTGCTAGCAAGATTTTGAATTATTTAAGTACTCTGAACTTATCCAACAAGATATAATGCTGTAATCAATATAGTTACTGCACAATTGGTTTATGGCTACCAGTGGCGGCCAGCGTTATTTTCTTTAGGGCATAATTTACAACAGTATCAAAGCTATTTGCTCTGTTTGATAACCACGGACTTTAGGTTTATATGCCTGACGTCCCGTCTACAACTGCGGTAGGAGGAATCGAAGGTGATAAAGCAACGTACAAAGTGCTATAGACTATCGAGGAACTGTCGTAGTGGCATAACGCAATGAGAAGCCCCATTTTGTTGAACTAACTGCGCCATTTCGCAGTAGATCCAACCGGATGGCGTTATTAATGCTTGGTTTTATCTATATTGAATGCGAGAGGTTTGGTGATACAACTAATTGATCGAATGTTGGAGAAGGGACCAATAATTATCGTAAAAGAATTTAGTTTTTGCTAAAATTTCGCAGTTTATTAAATTCATCTTGAGAGCTCCACAATAAAATCAATTCACAAGAAAATAATATACATGCCAATACATATCGCATTTGACATACTTTTATCCTTACATTTTGGAATACTGATTAGAATTGGTGTTGTTGGTTTAACATTTTTTTTTTTAATTTTAGAGGATAGAAACAAACAAAATACAAATGACGTGGAAAATTCTTTGGAACCAAAATATTGAAGAATACGATTTAACAAATTGAAATGATCACGTTTCAATCCTTCTACTGTTAACACTTCCTTGTCTGAAGAAAAAGATCTTCTCACTAAAGAACCTTTCACCTAATAAAGGTTGAACATCTGAAGTATTGGGGTTTCGATTTTTTTTTCATTCATGTTCAGACAACCTATGTTTCAGGTAAAGTTCTGTTTGTCCTATATAACATTTGATATATCTCTCACCCCTTAGGTTTGCCTGAAAAAGAATGTTGCTATATCAAGGTACCCAAAATGTCTGCCCATATACATTCAGTTTAAGAGGATATTGGATATCTCTACTTCTTCTCTTTGTTTTTTGGTTTTTTTGAGGGATGCAAAACTTTTAATATTTTCCATGCGTATTTCATCTTCCACGAACAAAATGATAGATTGGACCAATCGGAATATTTCCATTCTTGACAATGTTAATCTCCATTTCCTTACCAATAAATACGCGGAGTTTCAAAGAATGACATCCAACTTTTCGCGCTTCCAAAGCAGGGGAATGGTAAAGCGATTTACAGGGCGAAGCCGACTAAGTGAACACTGCGGCTTATTTTCTCGGGAATCCCAATAGTTCAATAAGATTTTCCCGCCAGGCGAATTATAACTTTTAGATCACATTACCAATTCAAACTGAACTGGAGGTTTTCTGCTCCAGTGATTTCGTAGAAATTACAGACCAACGATACCTAATAGGGTAGAACGTGAATCCTTAAAATTATTTCCACCCACTCTTGGGGGGGTGGAAATTCCTGATTCCCTTTCTTGATGCTCATTTACGCTTCACAAAGAACCTACCTACCCGGGTTTCCTGCAAGTTATTCAGGGTGGCTCGTTTTCAACTCAAATAATTTGTTTTATACTTTGTTGAAATCTGCTCATCATGGAGCATCTGATAATGTGAAACAATATAGGGTGATTTATTTATTTATTTATTTATTTGTAATACAATACTCTACAGGGCATAGCCCAATTACAGAGCAGGAAATAACAGAGTATAATAAATACATTACAACTAAGTGACTGTAAAGTCTACAAACACTACAAACAAGTGACTATAAAGACTACACATTTTATATTTATTATAGGTGACAAAACAATCATTTTAGGAAGTGGGATTTTATATTTGACAATTTGCAACTAAATATATCTAAATTATCACTAACAGAATTTGTCACTTTACACATGGTATGGATCGGAGAATTCTCCAGAACATTTGTGCGAGATGTTTTTATATAGAAAGTACTCGGGTGTCTGGAACAGATTCTAGGAATGCAAATATTAAACTTTTCCAGTAATGTTGGGCAGTCAACTATGCTTTTGAT